TGGCCCCAGGGGATCTCGCTGTCCCCCCGCCCTGTCCTTGGGGTGGCCAGGGCTGGGATGGGGGGAGTGGGCTGAGGACAAGCAGCCCAGCTGGGCCAGCCGCCATTCCACCGTGGCACATTGGAGAAAGGGGTGGGTACAGCAGCTCTGGCAGGGACACAGCGCCCTGGGGCAGGCACAGGGAGGCGCAAGGAAAAGGAAATGAGTGTTTTGGGGAGTTGCATTAAACTTTATTCCGTGCCCACAGCATAAGACTCTCTGACTCATAGCAATGGGAAGACCCAGGAAGGAGTCCGCTGGCACATCATCCCCTCGGGCGGCCACAACTGCCTCCAAAACTGCCCCTGCTGCACCACCACCTTCCACTTCGGCCACTCGGGCCAAGGCCACGACTGCAGGCAGCCGATCCCAATGTGCTCCAGCTGCCAAGGCTACCACCCTCAGTCAGGGGCGGGGAAGAAAGGCAGATTCTGCTCAGCCAAGACCCACAGCATCCTGTGGAGCCCGAGGAGATGCTGGGGACCAGAGCAGAGCACCTCCTAGGAATTCCTCTACAACCCAGAGGAAGCTGTCTGATGCCAAAGCAGCTGCTGGTCTGGCCAGACCTGACCCGTGTCCGCAGAAGAAGCAGCCTGGGGCTGACACGAGCAAAGCCTTGGACCGGTTCCTGCCCCCTGTGGAGAGCCAGGACATCCCACGAGTGGAGAAGGAGACACGGGGCCAGTGGAGCAACCCCAAGTGGTACGAGATGCGGGAGAACCGCATCACGGCCTCCGTGGCCTCCAAAATTGCCAACAGCAAGTTTGCCAACGGCAAGACAGATGAGGTGCCCCAGTCCTACCTGAAAGCTGTGGTGAACCCCGGCCCTGGGGTGCAGACCCCGGCCATGTCCTGGGGAATTCGCAATGAGAAGGCGGCCGTGCAGGCCTACGAGCAGAAGGCAAGGGCAGTGGGCAAGCCAGTGAAGGTGGAGGACTGTGGCCTCTTCATTCACCCAGACAAGAAGTGGCTTGCTGCCAGCCCAGATGGAGTCATCAAGGAAGAGACTACGGGGAAGGACCTGGGGCTGCTGGAGGTTAAGTGTCCCTACAAGCACAGGAACAGGACGGTGCGCGAGGCCTGCAAGGACAAGGA